AATATACTTGAAGCAAGCAATAGATAACTTTAAAGAAAGTGTTGGCTTCACAAATAAATTAGATTTTATATATTTGCATTTGTATATAAAACAAACAAATCTGAATTTCTTATAGAAAAAGAATGAAATTAAAAACAGGTATAACAGGTGCATAACATTTTTCATCCTCTTTGTGGAATCTGAGCAAAAAGTAACTCATGTCAACCTCATCTTCACTTTTAATTCACACAATTATTTTTAATATACAAATAATAATTAAAAACTTATGTGGTTCAGCAAAAAGATAGTAATTATGTTATAGGTTTACCCTGTAACATAGGGGCAGGTGTTTATACATTAGAGATGTGAGAATGGAGAGTAAGTTACATATACACTGTCTTTATCCTTTGTTTAAGATTAATCAAAACAGTTGACAATGGTGGTAGCTGTGCATGAACTAAGGAGATAACATCCCTTTAAACATCTTGAAATTACTTTTTAAATGCAATTGGAAGTATAGCAGATTATGATAGGACAATTCTGAAAAATAATGTTGAGCTACACATTTTTTTCATATGACTTTATTGCGTTTTCCTCATTGTCCTATTTTATATTACATCTACTTGTGACCTCCTGCCATCATGGAATTGAAGGCATTGAAGGCAGTGGCTTCTTATCTGATAGTGCAAAGCTTAGAACAATCAGCTGATATGAAACTATTGATTTTTTTAATCAGCTGTAATTTCTGATATAAATCTGGAAAAATAATTGCAAAATATTGAATACAAAACTTGTGTTTTGATGAGACAAAACTTGGAATTAGCAACAGTGGTTCCATATTCATGAACAAACATTATTTGCATTTTTCCCTCACATTTTTTTATTTCGCATGTTCTATAATGCAGAAAAGTGACTTTTTGCTGGTTTCCCCTATTTTTAAAGCCATCTTAAACTGCATTTTTCTCTTGGTGCAGAAAACAAGCAAATTTTTCAGGTATTAAGGTTTTAATTGATATCCATTTTGTTTGAATATGTCTGGATATATAGTATTGCATGCTGGTTACTGAAAGTTTGAACACCTAACTATAATGTCAAAAGGAAGTAGAAGAGCTACATTTAGTCTTCAAACTCACTCAATTTGATTTTGCATACACACACACATACACTCTTTATTTCCAAAATGCATTGAATATTTCAAGACAAGAAAAGTAGAGAGGAAGAACACTAGCTGACATAGTTGAAATCTTTGAAATTGTCTATTGAGACAGAAAAGTGAATGTAACGACATTTATTTCCAATGCAATAAGAAAGAGAAGGATACAGAATTTATTTGGAAAGTGATATTGCAGTACACTCATTCATTTAGTTCTAGAAATACCATGGATTTTTTGCAGTTGTTGTTTCCATCCTAGCTGGATAAGAATTTACACTGCTATTAGTCTGCTACAGGATTTCATGAATTGCCAAGGACAGAGTTTAGTGAAATATGTGCAACCTATTACCATTCAACCAACACAATGTATAACAAAGATGAAGAGCAGGCATTCAGATGTTATATTAGCTGCTCCTAATCAAAGGCTAGGGCTGTACAGAAAATCACAGAATAGCTGTATAAGGACCGTGAAGAGTGATTTTTATGGAGCTTTAAGTGTGCTTAAAAATAAAAAAAAAATACAAAGAAAAGAAAAAGAAAGTAAACCTCTTTCAAGAAAACTTGGATTCTCCCTTGTTTTGCATTGCATTGGGGGATGAGGGAGAAGAAGGAACAATGCAGACTTCATTTTGATGACAATATAAAAGGCCCAACAAAAAATGGTAATAAAATAGCTGCTTTAACAAGATATAATAAAAAGAGGAGTATAGATAGTGAGTAAATCTTGCAACCCTTCACATGCTAGGTATCGATGATTTATGCTTGCAGCATGGGATTAATTGTGGATGGATTTTGCCACAACAAACTCTGCAGATCATGTCCATGGAGAGGTTCCCCCTCCCTCCCATGCTGTGGTGGTTTTATCCGGTGTAACAAAGAAACCCGTGTATCTTTTGTCATAAGACCCATGAGTGTACAGCACAGGTTTTTATGGGCGTTCCAGAACCTACCCTTGCAGCAGGTCCCCATGTTACATGCAGGCTTCCCTGTGACACGGCTCCGTGTAGCAGACATAGCCTGCTCAAGGTCACAAACTTTTGGAATACAATGTCTTCTGCAAGGCTCCTAGGACATCTCCTAACACTATTTAATACCTCTGTGGAATCAGGGCAGAAGAGAAGATGGAATTCTGTCTTGAAACCAGAACATTTTGCTGAGATCTATCAATAATTCTTTATTCTTACATTGTGAAGTTTACAAATGTTTGAGAATTTAGTATAAAGTGTATTGGGAAATGTTAATTTCTGCTTAACCAAAAAGGAAGGCAAATAATATGTTACTTAGCACACTTTATACCTGCTGTACTTGTTCCAGCATTGAACTCTTTATCTCAAGACTTGACATCTTTCCTGAGCAGAAGTTATAGGTCTGATTAAGAAAAGAAATGATGTTTCTTGATATGTTAGGTGAGATGATGGCTGTTGTTTATGATATTATATTGCATTCTTAAATTATATCTCAGTTTTCTTCTAGTTGATTTGCTAATTTTAAAATTAATACATGAGGCTTTCAAAGCACTTTTATTATCCTGCCCTTTTTCTTCAGCAAAGCTCAGAATCATACATACCATTTTGTATTAACACAAATTAATGTGTTCTGTACTTAGCATCTTAAATAATTTTGTTTGATCCTGTATAGTTCCACACAGTTGTGTAATCATAATTACATTTTATTTTCTTTCCTATGTCACTCCTAGAAAAACACTGATAAACTGTTGAACATTATGGCGGAATTTATGGGACCTCAAGTAGCATGGTTATTTCCTCACAATGTGAAGAGAAAAGTAATTTTAAAGGAAATCCTCCAGATTGCCCTGGGGAAATTAATTTGCTTTATTATATAAGAAAGAATGTGTAAGATAACATAGGCAAATACAGAATTGTGATCTGCATCTGGAGCCACTGTCTGGGTATGTAGGGATAAATTTTAAAGTTCCAGAACCCGTTTGGAGCTGAGTCTGATGAATGACATAAAGGGCAAAAGATGGGCTTCTACTGACATCAGCATGAAAAAGAAGGTTAAGGGTGAATGTGGGCCTACTGAGTGGGATGGGGACCTGGTAGCAGAGGGTATGGAAGGGGACAAATTGTACTGAATGTTTCTTCACATTAGACTTCCCTGGCAAAACTGTTCCTAGGAATGTGACACCAGTGGGAAAGTTTGGGAAGTCATGCCCTGGAAAGGAAGCTTTCTTTATTCGTGGTGTATAGGACCTGGTTGAGACCATTTAAATGAAGTGGACTTTCACAGGTAAAAGGGCTTGGATAGGATGCACCCACAAGCATTGGGAGAACTGGCCCATAGCATTGTGAGGCAACTCTTGACAATCTATGAAGGATCATGGTGATCAAGGATGTTCTTGCAGACTGCAAGAAAGCCAGTGCCACTTTTAAAGGGCAAGAGGGAGAATCCAAGACACGATAGGTGCATCAGCCTCACATTGATTTCCGGAATATGGAGCATTTCACCCTGGAAACCATTCCCAGAACTAGAAGATGTTTAGGAGCAGGCATCATGGATTTACAGAGGAATAAATTCCTGGTCAGCCTGACAGCCTTCTCCAGTGAAGGGGACTGGCAGGGAGGATGTAGGGGATGTTGTTTAGAAATGTCCTTAGAAATCTTTTGAACACCCTCAAAAACAGTGAAGTTCAGACCAGATGTACAGACAGGAGTGTGAATCCAAAACTGGCTGTGTTACCAGACCAAAAGACCTGCATCATATCCCATCCTGTTTTTTCTCTCTCCTGTCTGTTGAAGTACAAATAATATTTGGGAAAATCTTAGTATCCAGACCTTTTCTGGGGTGATAGTTCCTGTTTATACTCTCAACCTTCAGCTGTCAGCAATTGAGGAACTTCTGTGTGCCAACATAATTTTTAATAATATATCTTTCATTGCTTTTTCCAAACTTTTTTAAAAGCATACTAACGTTTTTAGGTTTTGTAACTCTATGTTTCAATGAACCTCCCAATTTCACTCTGTGTGTGTGTGTGATATATGTATTATCTGTGTTGTATTCCTTTCCTTTAAGTTGTTTGGGATTTTTAAAAGTTATTAAATTCATTAGTTGGCAATATGCATTAGTTTTCAGTGATGGTGTTTTAAAAAAATTTATTCTGTTGCATGCTGAGTTCCAAATACTTAAAATTTGCAAGACTATATTTGCTTTCCTTTTTTTTTTTCCTTTGCAAACAGAAAGAACAATATTAGGATAATATAATTTCATTGGTCTCAAAGGTCTAAAATCCAATTGCAAACAAGATGGCCAAATACAATTTATGCTTTCAGGGAAAAAAAATCAATGAAAACATTTAGTTGGTTATCATGCCATCTTATACTTCCAGTCTTGGTCTTCCAAAGAGAAAGGAGAACATTATACAACATGGCAATTTTGGTAGCGTGGTGGCACTGCAGCCATACAGAAAAATATCTTATGTATATTTTAATTTTGCATATCTCTCTCATAACTATGTTTTGAAGTCAAGTTCTTCAAAGTTCAGGGTTTAAAGGAAATAATGAAAATTGCATCACCTGTCATTAATATGTATCGTTTATGTGCATGAAAACTGCACATGCTTTTTGTAGTGGTTTATAAAACATACTGTTGATAATGTCTAATGAAGTTTGCTTGGAGAGATTTAGTGAGAGTGATGGGGGTTTACCCTATCCCCAGTGTGGCTAATCACAATTTTGTCATGTAACACTGAGTACTATTGTTAATTTACTGTTTCCATTGATTTGCCTGTAAGAGTATTTTAGTGAATCAGAGGTTAAAGCACCATGATTATTTCAGAATTGATCTATCATTTCTTGTTTTCCCTTGTTCATTTGTATTTTCTTTTCTTTCTTCCTCTTACATGCTGCAGTTGCAAACATATTGTGGCGAGAGCAAGGTACTAATGGAGATCACTTTTGTTCATATTTTCTGTAGTATGATGAAATGCTCATCTGTTGCTTCTTTTGTGTATGTGTGTGTTTGTTCATACTCTACAGTTACAGTAATTACCTACCCCCTTGCAATACTGAGGAATTTGACTTAAAAAAATTTAAGTGGAAGTGAATCCGATAAATCCTCATACTTTTGGAAACTGCTTCTCCTTTTTGGGAGAAAAATGGAAATAAGCTGTTCACAATTTTCAGACAATTGTTCAAAGATATACAACAAGATTTAAAAAGTAGACCTTTAAATTTTGATTGTTGTAATGATAAAACTTCCAACCAGTAATCTTTTATGTGCTGTTGAGATTGATTTTCTTGTATGAATCTCTCTTATTTGACAAAGTTATAATCTTATACAGTTTAAAATTGAGATAGTTGATGCTGCTTAATGAAATCAAGCATTTTATTCTTATACTCAAGAAAAGTTTGTAAATAAATGTTCAGGCAGGGAATGGATGTTTGTGATGAACTGAAGGATAAATGTAAATAAAGACACGATCAGGTGTTATTAGCATAAAAATAATGGAAATTTTATTTTACAAGCAAAAGATAGGTATTAATTTTCATATATATGACATCATCTCAAAAATTATCCTCATTTTCCAGAAAAATACCATAATCTAAGAGTTGTCATGAGTTCCCATTCTGTTGCCCTAAGTAGCCTGTTCTTCATCTCAAGTTGCAATTTAGTAATTCATATATTTCAGGCATAAGAAATTGTTTCAAGTATTTCCATTGGAAAATTGATAATACAAGATAACAAATGGATCAGGCTTTGCTATGAATTCATGCTAGAAATGGTATTTCTGTAGACTTCTTAAAAATTTGTTTTTAATTAATTTAAAGATTTAAAAATCTGATATTTGCCTGTTTGTAGTAACTTTTGGCATTCCCAGTATATTTATAAATATGAACTAGTTTAATTTTTTATTCCTCTTTTGTCCCCTTTTGCTCAACTGGTACAATAATTTCTGGGATTGTAGTGGAGCTCAGCTGTGATCCTCCTGCCCTGTTGGCCCTGCAGAGTACAAATGATGTGTTTAGAGTTTCACACAATTCCTCTGTTAAACTGATATGCAGGAGGATTGTACCAAATTCTCAAAAGTATGCTGTTCTCACCTCTTGTTGGGAAAGTATCAAGTTTGGTTTATCTCAAAATGTGATTAGTATCACCTTGATTGTTTAGATGATTGTTTATTCGAGTCAATTTGTTGCTTTCAGTCATTAGAATGCACCTAAGAAAAATTAAATTCTGTGACAAAAAAGTCCAGTTAAAGATAATAGCTTACCAGAGTGCTTATGGTAAAAACATTCAACTTTCTCTATGACTAATGTGAAACTAATCAAAAAGCAATTTATAGTATAAGATTTTGTGTCTCCTAGAGCAGATATTCTCAATTTCTCCTGCATTTCTCATTGGCCAATCCTTGTGTTTCCAACATATTCTGTTACTAATTACAATGTTAGAAATACTTTACAAGAGACCAATACCCTGAAGAGGCCAATAAACATTACTACCAACTTCTCTGGGCCATGCATACTCTGCCATTTTCTGTTATGAAAGTATTAACAGATAGGAGGGGAGGGATGAGTGGTAAGTAGGACAATCAAGATCATGAAATCATATATAGGCCTTATGCCTATATTTCTACATTAAGTACACAAAATCTTTATCACAACCACTTGCATCAGAAAATCTGAAAGGATTTTGAAGGTACGTGTGTTTTACAGTAATAATACAATATATAGATAAATATATTCATATATATGCAAAAGAACCCCAACCACCACCATTTTTAAAAAAATTAGTTAGCCAGTTTTAAGTATCAATTTAGTCTAAATAAAGCAAATTTATTTATCTATTGCTTCTGGCACTGAATTAAAAATGTGCAGGATTGTATTTAGTGGGCGAGGTTTGCAAAATTAAGTCTTCAAAGGAACAGCTCCTGTAGTTCTGAAATAGTGGCTTGCCAAAGTGATTAGATATTTATGCTGATTAGATATTTGTACAGGTATCTGTAGCCACCCACTCAAATGAAGAGTTTTGGGTCATAATGAGTTGGAAAGGGGAATTAACTAATTCGATCCAGAGGTAAAGGTTCTTTATATGAACTGACTTCCTTAACTTGGTATTGAAATGGAAGGACATTTTATACTGTATGTCCTTCACTGCTTTTGAAGAACAGTTTAGTGAACATTATTATCCAGACTTTGGAAATAAAGCCTTTGGGCCAATAAAAACTTTGGGCTGTTTATTGGACATAAATAATATCTGTACATTGGAAATCTTGTTTTGGAGTATTGGCACCTGAGGTGGAGATTTTAGGAGCCTGATATCAAATGTCTGGGTCACCTGGGACTATAATCTGAGCTACCTCCTCATATTCTGGTATTGCTTATCCTGCTAATAACTATAATGTACTTCAGCCAGTGAGAGGAGGGAAAAGGGAAAACCCTGTTTTGTCCCCAGCCGTGCTCACATATTCATCCCCAAGGCACAATATGCCAGTTGCTCAGCTATAGATCTCTACATTATGTTCACTGGTACAGGCAGCCTAACATCAGTCAGGCTTATCTGCAGATTTCAGCTGTTCTTACGCGACACAATGTCAGCCATTCTCTAAAGAGAGACCTTAACGTGCTGTATTATAGAGGCTGTGTGGTTTATCTGCCAAGGCATACAAAAGTGCCCACTGGCCAGAGTGGGCATATTGCCCCGAGTACACCCTGTGCTCTGAATAGACATGACTGGGGAGTTTTCCATGAACCTAAGCCTGCTTCTGTGTTTCACCAAATGCAGCGTAGACAAATTTCTTTCCCGCTTTTTGCTAGTCTATTAATAGATAGATTTACATAAAGTGAGGAAAACCCTGCTTGGAGACTGCCTCTCCTTTCTCTCTGGGAAAATTTGGCCAGAAATGGGAAATGATTCCACAAGATTTCTCAAAGACAATTAAATGTATTTGTTCTGGGCGTAGCCTGACAACTTTCTGAGTATTACAACCTTTAAACTACTGTATTAGGTATATGATTCCTAACAGGAACTGGAAACTTGTATGTATGTGTATACATAAATACATATATACATACATACATAGATACTGACACAAACATGCATCCCTCCTATCCCCTCCTGATCTTCTAATTATTTTATTTTGTATTAAGACCTGTTTTCTCTCTATTAACATTGATTTTCCCTCAGAATTTAGGAGAAGCAGAATTTCAGATTCAAATTTCTTTTTCATAGGTTTCACTCCTCTGTGTTCCTATACCAAATATTGTCATGGCAAGTGAGAGCTTGGGTCCTGTGCCCAGGATACATGCACAATTTTACCATTGCAGCCAATAGTGTAATTGTCAGAATGGTTATAGTTACGATTTTATGAGTACTATGATTTTCTTCAAAGAATTTTATGAATATGAACTGATCATCCATTATAGCCATCCACATAGCAAATCAACAACTGCTGTCTTAGTTGGCACACAGAAAATTAATGAGACTGTCCTTTTCTGTGGTCATGACCATGATCACAAATATTCTGAGACTTCATGCAACAGATCTGGTTCCCACCTTCTCCACAAAACTTAGTTAGCATCATGCCTTTCAGCAAAATTGTGGAAGAAGGATTGAATCATTCTGTAAACACCTATGGCCCTTCAACATTGAAATCAATATCTGCCCAACTCTGTTTTTCTAATAAAATAAAATAGACACTATTTCCTTTTCTTGAAATATCAAGTGAGGGTTTATAACAAACACTTCTCTTTCAGTGTTATACAGAAATCATGTTAAGTCCTCCATCCCTAAGCAAAACAAACAAAAAAGTATGTGTAGAGAATTTATATTAGTTTGATTTCAGTGTAGATAATTTCACAAGATCACTTTTACTGTTGCAGCTATCAAACTGTGTATTTCTAGATCTGTATTCATAAAGACACTGTCATGCCAATGGAGCAAACTATGTAAAGTTCTGAATAATGTAACAGTTTTGTTTCAGTTTTGCAACAAAAGATCCCATAGGTTTAGCTGTATTACCATTATACACATTAACAAACTTACCTCATGCTGAACTGTGATTAGGTTTTTTTAGTTCAAGACAAAGATTTTATTTTTTGTCATTATTTAATTTTATACATTTCAATGTGTTTTTGTCCCTAAGGTCTGGGAATTGGGAACATGTTTTATGTTTTTTATGAAGATGGCATCAAAGTAATACAACCAGTGGAATGTGAATTTCAGAGGCATATTAAGCCTAGTGAAAAACTCCTCGGTTTTCAGGCAAGTTGTTTTTAAAAATCTATTTGTAGTGTTTTCTCAATTATAATTTTCTTTGCATGTGAATTGATTACTAGTTCAGTGTTTTCTGCTTGATAAATTCAGCCATGTCTTCTGAATTAATAAATAGCTTATAATGGTGTACTCAAAATTTCTTGCATTTTCCTCTGTTAAATTCAAGCTTTCAGTTCTTTTCAATTAAATATTCCCCGAACACTTTTGCCAACCTTTTCTTTCTTTGGCTGTCTTTCTCCTTTCCCAGTTCTTTAACAGCTCTCTATTTCTGGATCAGTTGATGATTTTTTTTAGTCCCCACCAGCTCCCCACCTCCAACCCACCAGTTAAGTTCATCTTAGTGAATCAGAGATTGACTCTCTCTATTTTAAATACAGGATCTTCTGGGGGGTGGGGAGGTGTTAATCATTTCTTTTTCTCCACTGGATGTTTGTCTGTATTAAACTCTCAGCTATCGTGAGGAAAATCCCTGTCCTGGTAAATGCTCTCACAGCTTCCACTGAAGTTAGTAAAGATGATTGATGCTTTGGTTCCAACTTAAAATTCATATAAGTAGTTTCAATAACTTTACTGTTAACATATTTATAGCTGATTTTTCCAAATTCTGAGAATTTATGATATAGTTTCCCTGAGTAGGATACATAAAAACACTAGTGTATTCTCCACTTCCATTTATTCTTGTGATGTTTTTCCTTTACTGCTAATCAAATTGCTAGCTGACATGATGCATGTTCCCACAGGAACACTTGGTACTAGTCACAACATTAAGACTTACTCTATATGATATATCAGCTTTCAAAAATAGTAACTTTTTCGCATTTGGATTTGAATGAGTGACCTTGAAATACATACTAAGCATTGAGCTGTACACTTAGTTTTTGGTTTTTTTTTTCTCTAATGCCTCAATGACAGCAGAGCTAGAGCTGTCTCAATGGAATTTGCCTCTTCAGTTATCATTATTGATGTCAAAGGCTGCTGTACTCAGCAACAAGATTTATTTTAGTGTGAATAATTATGCTTTGAACAGCTAATCATACCTTGATTTGTGCTGCTTAAATGAAATTAGGTTGACACAGCCAAAAATAAGCCAAAAAGCACTTTTTTTATGGCTGTTTAATTTAAAAGCTGATTATTTAAGAAATGTGTTAAAATTTTATTGGTCTAAAGTGCAGCCTAGATTTTACGGGTATTTTTATTAAAATGTGGCAATAATCAGGATGAACAGGTAAAATCTCTTTCCTTTTGGAACCTTTCAAACATGGAGTAGCATAATAACTATATCCTCTTGGGGGGGAGAGGAGGGAAGAAAAAAAAAAGCCCAGGAAAGTAGGCTACTGGATAACTTTAAAGTTTTTTTAAAAACTTTTTTTTTTTTTTTTTTTAAATATTCTTCCCCTTTGAAGAATATCATATATTCCTCAAACTTCTTTGGAAAGTCCTCTGAATAAAAATAATAAAATAACCCAATTCTGTCCCAGGATCAGATTTTTATCAAGTTCAGCATGTGATTGCTAAGTAGTAACAGCTCATGTCATAAATTTCTGGCTATTAATAATCTTTGGCTCTAATCAGAGATGTTAGTAAGTATACCAAACATATTTTGAGGTAGCTTTACATAGCCTTTCCCATTAGGGCATCTACATGATGTAACTATTAACATATTAGTAATAAAGGAAATACGTGCTTGCTTAAACCTCTCCCATTTCTCTACATTTCTCTGAATTAGCTGTTGAAGTGATAAGTAAAACCACAGAAGAATTGTTTATTGCCAAATAGTTGCTAAATCATAGGAACATTTCTAAATTCAGCAGTGCAGTTTCAATAATAGAGAATGTCTGGATATTACACATGACACTCCAGTGTTCCTCCATAGGTTTCCTATTTGTCTGTCAGCAAACTTAACGGAGCTTCTGTATGAGCTCAGGAGTTTCTACATAGCACTGCACTGTATTGAGAGCAATATTGCAGTACTTACACATGTACATATTTAGGTATGCTAATTTTGCTAAAGGTAAACATATTTTCTTACTTTCTATATACTTGAGAACTCTTATCTAAATATTTAATTACCTCTTATGCAACTGAGTGTCAATACAGCAAAACATTTTGGTGTATATCTAACATGGGAATCAAATAGACTCACTGTGTTTAAAGTGAAGCAAAAGATTTAGTGCTATACTGGATTGCTATGGGTCACAGAAATTATAAAGGCCTTCTTCCCCTCCTCAGAATCTCCTAAAGTACTTGAATCTTCTTAATCTCAAGTAGAAATTTAGTGAATGATAGTGAAAATTCTAGATTCACAGGGACAGAAATAAACTGATTTCTATTTTCTGATATAGGTTGTTGCTTAGTTAGACCAGCTTTGGCAGCTGTTTGTTTAACCTGTTGTTGAATAGATTCTTACTCAAGTTCAAGTAGAGTCTTTCACCTGTTAAAATATCTCATCATTGTGAAGTGCTTGGGACATTTTCCTCGCATTTTCCTCTGTTTATCCTCTGCAAATTAAAATTATCCAAAGACTTAAATTCTAATTCTTATGTTAAAGTGTTTTTATTTTCCTTTCACAATGAATCCCAATTAGAATAATTATTTCCAGAGACTGGAAGAAAAGCAATTGAAACATACCTTTTTGAGGCTAATGAAAAAATCCTTTTGACTTCAACATAAAACTGATTTTCTGTTTACTACAAGAAGCAGCACATAATGGCCAAATTTCAGTGAAATATGCCATCTCACATTTGAATATATGCTGGAGGTCAGAGCAAAACACTTAATTTCAAAATTATTAATGTGACTACATGGCAGACCAAAATTTACTCAGGAAATTAGATTGAAACATACTTTTGTTGTCCACAGAAACTGCCTTGGTTTATACTCTCGCAGCACAAAAAGTGTAGTAAATGCAAACTTGTTTGTAAAAAAAAAAAAAAAAGTTTTTAAAAAATCTACTCTGATTTTTAGCAAAGAATGTCAAGAAAAAAAGATTTAATGTAGAAGAGGTGACACATAAATTCATGTTTTAAAACTGTTGCAACCTGTTGGTATCATCTTACTCTTCGGCAGCCATAACATAGCTAGACATTTTATTACACTGCCTGAAGAGTTTGACTCACATCCTTTTAAAACACTGAGGACCCTTGCAGTAAGTGTAAATTAATAAACATAGAATTTGCACATATAAATCTGCAAGTACGTGTTTCCTCTTGAGATTTTCTTGCTCCAGACTATCTTGAAAAACTTTCTCTAAGGATTTATTTAACTCCGTCTGCTGACTTGTTACAGAGCAAGACACTTTTTGATTAAAAAGTCTGGGAGGAATACAACAATGAAGTAAATTAATGTTTTATCAGATGTTAACTTTTTTTCTTTTCAGAGAGAATAAATTAGGAAAAAAAGTAAATTGCTCACATTTTAATTAGAAGAAGAAAATGATGGGTTTGTGCTTATATTTTAAGGAGAAATTATTTTAACCAATTACCCAACCCCTGGGGAAATTATTATGAAGCCTCAGAATAACTTCTTGTCGTGTAAAAGAAGTCCAAACTGTCTAATCAGATAAATGTTGTATTTTCAAAAGCAAGATTTCAGTTCTGTTGAAACAGCTTCAGGTAAATGTAGGTTTGAATAACCAGAGAAACAACCACATAAACCAGTTTATATTGGGAAAAACACTCTGTTTAGGATATGAGAATTTTGGTGCACAATTTTCACTGTTACATTGGAAAAAAAGGTTTTTGCTTTTATGTTTTCATTTTTCTGGGGCAAGTTGAGAATTAGCATTGGATTATAAAAATTTATGTCAACTTGAAAAATATTTTAGAACCTTTAAAGTAGATTTTTATATGTAGATTTTTATATGTAGATATGTATATGTGTGGTTATATATATATATATATATATATATATATATATATATATATTAGACTATATTTGTACTGGTCTTACAGTGAAAAAATCTTTAAAAGTACACTTCTGGGTATTTTTTTTCAGATTCAGGCAAATGTATAAAGCTGTAATTCATCTCTGGAGGTAGTTATAAGTGCTTAAGTTAGAGTATTTTGCTATTCTGCTGTACATCCCACAAGGGAAGGTGATATCAGAGAAATCATTTACACTAATCTATATCATGCCATGTGAGAGAAACACAGATTCCTTCAGCAGGGATTTTTGATATTTTTGAATAATATATTGAATATGTCCTTGTAGAATTCAGTCCCAGAAACTGATGTGAATGTATGTGAGTCCCTGAGACATAACTGAAAATAATATCTCTGTGTAGATTTGTTGCAAACATTTGTGGATTCATTGCTTGAAGGTGCTCCCTCTGAGAAAATAAAGATGATTGTGTAGAGCAATCTAGATGTAGTTTAAACATGCAACATGTTAGATAAAACATGCAACTAAGACAAGGTATATTTGGAATAAATATAAAAAATAATGAGATCGGTGAAACAACCTTCCACTTGAAGTGACAATTACCCAGAAGGCAAATGACAACAGATCACTGGTATGGTGATTGCACACCATGTTAGAGACAGACTTGCATATGTTGATTTAATGAAACAATGAAAAGCGTTTAGCTACTTTTAAGAATGAAAGTCCCATTTGTCCCATGCCTGTCATTCCTTAAAAAACCCCAGATTTTTAACTTCTCCCTTTGATCTTCATGGCTTCTTATCAGCGCAAACTAAATCTTACTTGTTACTTATTTCTAAGTTGTCCTGAAGTTCCTGGTGATGTGCTATTGCACAGTACCTGAGTTTAGTAACCTTTCCTTACCATATGATTCCTGAAAGACCTTCCCTTTGTTGAGGTTTAAGAGGCGTGTAAAAGCAGGGAGTGGCTTTCAATCTTTTGCGAAGAAACTTCCTCTTTTAAAGCTGGAAATTGATTTATTTCTTCTTATGGCATATAAAGGTTGAGTGTATTTTCAAAAGTGTAGAGGCACATTAGACAAAGAATGTTGATGATACAGAAAAGTTAAGTGTTGAAATGCATCATCTTCTTGAAGTGCATTACTTGATGCCAAAGCTGTTCTGCCACATAATGTTTCCTGTGCCTATTAAAAGGCGTTTGATGCTTAGAAACAGAGTTCTTGTTTAAGAGCTCATCATCTCTTGCTGCTCATTCTACATTGAGTCATTATCTGGTGACATATAATTATTTTCACAGCGGCCAGTTATGATGTATGAGGCAGAGCATTCTAAATTAGGAATAAGCAGTAGATAAGTGGCAAAAAGAAATAATACTTATGATTTGATAAAATTGTGTCTTGTGATGCAAGGAATTAAAAATAAGACTCAAAAGAAGAAAAGGGCAGGAAAACAAAAACACTTGACACATCCTGTATTTTTCCAAGTAGAATGTTTTTCAGGTCCATGTTTTTAAATAATTATCATGTCCATTATAAGAAAGAAATTACGGTATTTCATAAATGGAATTTCCATATATAGTAACATACTTAACCAAATAACTTTTAATTTTGATAAAATCAAGCTTTTTGTGGGAGAAAATATTCACAAATAGATAGTTAAATGATTTGCCATATATTTCTACAAATTGGGAATAGTGAGTATGTAAACTACAATTAGTTATTTTGACTAAGAGTTTGTAGTTATATGTATTATGAAATATCAGTTCACTGAAGTGAACAGATTTTAATTTTTTTCAAATTCATCCTTTTGCAGGAATGGAAGGGCAGAGAGGGATGGAATGCTATTAAGAGGACATTTGGTATTTATTTGGCTTAATACTAGCAAGACAGGCCATGAGAATGTCTTATGGCAGAAGTAGCTAAACTTCTTGATCTTTTAAGCAACCTATCAGCACCTTAAGTGACCAAAGCAGCTGATCTCTCTGACTGCTGCTTTGCCCCATGCCATGTGACAATTTGCACCACACCACCTCCTCTTTCTCTTCATTTGTACATTATCATCTCCCCAGTTAGGTACTTGCCTGGCTTTCGTGGTAAGCCATGCCTGCACTGCCTCCCTTTGCCAGGCACTGTGAGGCTGCTCAGGTGGGAGCTGCCAGCTGCTGCAGTAACAGGGCACTGTGTGTCTGGTTTGGTTTTCTGGTTTTAAGGTCTCCTGCCCCTTGCTCACTTTACTTCTTTGTTTCAAATTGGTTTCTTTCTCAGGTCAACAAATTCAACTTCTTGAATTTCTAGGAAACATCCCAAAATTTAGTATGAATTATTTTATGTTGTTTATGAGTTGTGGTGCTTACAGATGCAGTTTGCCTGACATGAAATTATGTCCTAGTGTCAACTGTCCTTTTTCCTTCCCTACATTTTCTGAGGGTTTATTGTACAGTTAAGAAAGAAGAAAATTCGTATACATAGTAATTAGTATGTCTTTCTATTACTTTATTAACTGGTTTGATTCTTACACTTTTCCTGTTTCTGTTGAATTATAGGATGAAGTTTGTCCCAAAGCAGATGGTGATCCTGTTCAGCGGTGTATTTGGGCAACTGCTGTTAATGTAAAAGACAAGTTCATATATGTGACTCAGCCCACACTTGACAGAATTCTCATTGTTGATGTACAGTCTCAGAAAGTTGTACAGGTATCTATTTCTCATTTTTTAAGTTACTATCTAATTGAGACAAAAGAATTTAAGACTTTCCTTCATATTTCAGAAACAGAAATACAGTTATCTCGTGAGTAAACAAATTATTTGGAAAAAAGCTCACCTACTTTTAACATTTAGCAGCAGTTTCTGTTTAGCAACTTACTTCTCAATAGACAATTGTGAAGAAGATAACATGAAAATAGCTCATAAATATTATTCAAGTACTTGAGGAAATGAGTTCTTTAGGAAGCTGCTGACTTGAGGTACCTTTCACTCTAAAATGAAGATTGGCTAAAATAGTCTTTTCACAAGAATGTGTCTATCAGTTTTGACAGAAAGGCCAGGTTTGGCTATAGAAGTTGGAGGACGGTTTCTCTGTATGCTTTTAGACAGAGAAATTATGGAAACAGTAAAAATAAACACCACTCTTAGCCAAGACTGGAGACTTTGAATTCAAACATTTTCTCTACTCCTCCTTCTTGGTCTCTGGATGCTGGAGATACTCTGCTTAGAGAAAATAATTCATTGACTAAAAGAGAGAAGTCAATGCTATGCTACAGCGATTAATAGTCATAGAGTTTGTGCAAAACCAGGTGTGGTGTGTTGACTCCAACTGGGGTCAAACCACCAAAAGCAGTTCTATCACTCCTCTCCCCAGCTGGATGGGAAAAAAAGGTTTCATGGGTTGAGATAAGGGAAAGATCACTCTCCAATTACTGTCACAGGCAAAACAAACTTGACTTTGAAAATAAATTCAGCTCATTTCACTACCAAAATCTACGTAGGATAATGGATAGTATAACAAATCCTAGACACCTGTCCCCCTGCACTCCCTCCTTCCTGGGCTTAGTTTTTTTTCCTGATTGTCTGCCTCCACCCCCACAAGCAGTGAGGGAGATGAGGAATGGGGGGTCAGTTTGTCAGTTTGTCACATTATTTCTGCTGCAGCTTCTTCCTCAGAGAGAGTAGTCTTTGCCCTGCTCCCTCGTGGGACCATTCCCATGGGAGACAGTTCTCCATGAACTTCTCCAGTGTGTCTTTCCCATGGCTTTCAGTTCTTCACAAACTGCTGACTGTGGGTCTCTTTCCATGGGATACAGTCTTTCAGGAACAGATTGCTCCAGTTTGGGTTCCCTATGAGGTCACAAGTCCTGCCTCTAGGTGCCTCTTCACAATTTCAAGGGCCCTGCCAAAAACCTGCTCCAGTATAGGCTTCCCATGGGTTCAGAGCCTCCTTCAGGCATTCACTTGCTCCAGTGTGGGGTCCTCCAGGGGCTGCAGGTGGATCCCTGCTCCACCCCAGACCTCCGTGGGCTGCAGGGGCACAGAGGTCTTCACCCCAGGCTGCAAGGAAATCTCTGCTGGCTCACCTCAAGCATCTTCTGCCTCTCCTCCACTGACCTGGGCATCTGCAGAGCTGTTCCTCTGACATATTCTCACTCCTGTCTTGTCTGGTTGCAAGCACTTCTCCATGATAACACTTTTGTGCATCTCAGCTATGTTATCCCAGAGGTTCTAGCCCACCACTGGTTGATTAGATATTGGCCAGCAGCAGGTGTTGGCATCAGCTGGCACAGGCTCTCTCGGACATGGGGGAAGTGTCTGGCAGCTTCTTACAGAAGCCACCTGTATGGGTCCCCCCTGCTGCCAAAAGCTTGTCACGCAAACCCAGTGCACCAAGGTACAAAACAGTGCTTATAGTATCATCATATTTATAGGAAACAGGTGTTCCTTAGCTAAATAAAACATGGGTCTGGTTTTTTTCAAATTAGAAACCTAACTAAATTGTTAATAAAATAACGCACTTAAACTGAGCTTTGCATGCCTTTTGCTTTTTTGACGGATAAATGAATGAAAAATCTTTAAAGTATAGATTATATATTAGGCTCCGGGGAGACAGTATTGTGTCCTTGCAATACCTAAAGAGGACTTACAAGGAAGTTGGAGACAGATATATTAATAGGGATAGTAGCAATAGGACAATAGGTAATGACTTAAAACTAAACGATAGTAGATGCAGACTAGATATAATGAAGACATTTTTTACAATGAGGTTTGTGAAAGACTGTCAGAGTTTGCCCTGAGAGGTGGTAGAAGCAGCATCCCTGGAAATCTTCAAAGTCAGTTTAGATGGTGCTCTGAGCAAGCTGTCTAGTTGAAGATGTCCCTGCTCGCTACAGAGGTTTTGGACTAAATGATTTTTAAAGGTCCCTTCCAGCTAAAACTATTGCATGATATAAGTATATACATGTAATGTGTAGTATAGGCATATAAAATTCAAAATAAGAAACAAAATTGCATTTATAAAATAGCATTGATTTCAAAAATAATACTTTTGCATACTTGAAACATCTGCTTTCTGAATTCTGTGTGAGCTGACTGAGATATGGCTTCCTTAAAACTTGAACTATCCGAATGGTGGCAGGGACTTATAAAATGTTTTATTCAAGAAGTTAATAATAAAAAGGTGACGCTTTTTTGCTTAAATTTACCTTTGCATATTAAAATAGAGATAAACTGAGTGGGTAATGAATTTTTATTTTCTGAAAACAATACCTTTTTTGCAACCAGTTTGATGTATGACATCAGGAAGACAGACTTTGAAGGAATGGAATGTCTGGCAATATTTTCCATGGTTTCTGACTGACATTCAGGTGTCAGGTTCTTTTTTCTCCACAGGAGGGATGAAATATCAATGTAATTGCATTTATTGGCATTTAGACTTCAGTGCCCAAAGCACATAATTCCTTTTGAGTTCACTGAAAATATGTTTTAATTTAGGTTTTATGAAATACGTTTATTGGTAGGCTCTTCTAATTTGTCTTCAGTTGCATTACTTATTTTTTAAAATATGTATAAATATATATCACTTTGCCATTACAAAATGTGCAGAGGTACTTACTGCAAAGTATATGTTAATTAAAAAGTAAAATTCAGTAAATTACCCACTAATTAAAAGTTCAGCCCTTCCCCAGAAATATGTTAAATAATTGTGCAGTTTTTGAATGGTGTTAGATTGCTCTATCATAAAAATATTCAAGTTTTTGTAATAAGCTGAAAAACGTACATACAGAATCCCTAAGTGTAGCAAAGAGCTTTGTGCACTAAGTCTGTGCTACTAAGCCAGTATGTTGAGCTAAAATGAGGATACTCCAGAAGCTTTCATGTTATTCTGGGGGGAAAAAATCACTTTGAAAGGAATTTTTTTGGGGGGATAGAATAGCATTGCTTTTCCACTAATTTAATATTCTGCAGGTTATGAACCAAGGAAAGTATAGAACCAAATTTACCCCAGCTGTGGAAAACTTTGCAGGAATGGAAGTCTTGGTTTTGATGCTTCTAGGTGTTTAAGTAATCATAATAAATTATTTTGCCATTTCACAGTACTTAACAAAGATTTTTGGAAAGACAATATAACCAAGGACAGTTTAACCAGATAAATAAATAAAACCAGATGTGTTACTGTCACTTTTGAACTCCTAGGTAGAATTTCTATTATTTGTTACTGATCTGAATGTTATTTCCTAGGATACGCTTAGTCAAATAGATGGGAAAAGTACAGGGGGATTTCCTCTGTGTCCAGCTTACCCATGCCATTATTCAAAACAGACTAAAAAAACAAGCAAAACCAAACAAACAGACAAACAAAAAAGATTAAAATAAGTATTTGCAAACGAAGCAAATAAATAATGAAGACATAAAACTTACACAACCTTTTCACGTATATTATAAAACTGTAAAAAGTAAAACTTATGTTGATTCACAGATGTGTTTTAGAATTGAAGTAAGGCTAATTTGGAAGTTAGTGACAAGTCAAGAGATACTTTGTTTAGCATTTCTTATAACATGCATGACTCTGTCTTCTTGTCTTTTAAAAATAAGCATTTATTTTCTAGCTTTATTTTTTGCAAGAAGGAAGAATGTTCTAACCATTAAATGTTGCTCTATTCATATGATATGCACTTACAAAAACACTTTTAAAAACAGGAGGCACAGAAGGGAATTTAGTTTTCCAGACCAGTCTATTTTCATTAGAGTACTGCCTAGCACAGAGTAAAATAAAGATTTAAATCATTTTTTGAAAATTGAAACTCAGCTGTTCAGAAATGAGAGCATTTTTCTTGTTAGACTGCCTTTTTCCTAAAGATCATATTAATACAGAGGATATCATTCCCACACATGTACATGTGCATGTAACCATTTCCACTCTACATCTAAAGTAAGAAACCACCTTGCAAAAAAAGGCTAGTGGGTACAAATGTGGAGATAATTTCATATTTTGAAAGCAAGAGCACTCTAATGAAACTTCCATCACTGTGCAAAAACCCTAAAGAAAATTAAAAATTTATTTGAAAGGACTTTAAGTCATGTAGAAATGCTGTTTCCTGCGTAAAAATAATGTTTATTTGGTTTTGCTTATTACAGTGTTTTCTCTGAAGTACTACTATACATGTTATTCCTTTCTACTATGAAAGTTAATGTAAAAGGTGTTCACATATGTGACAACTAGATTTGAGGATGATTTATTTTTTATGACAGGTATATTTATCAAAATAAGTACTTTAGAGGATTCTATAGCAGACTAAACTGGAATGTATTGGAAACATGGATGTTGTATTTTTAGAGATATATATAGAGGGAGATTTTTTTACTTATCCGGGTAATTCTCATTCTAAAGTCAAGAAAAGCATTTGCTTTCATTTTTAAATTCTTGAAAGCAAGAATTGTGCAGTACTTCATAGCAGCACACCACTAAGTGGGATGACTTAGAGGCTGAAGTAAACAGAGTCATCGTCCTTCAGTCCTCACTGTGCTGCTGGCAGATCAGCCTGGTCAGCTAGAAACAGCTGTGAAAGTCTGCTTCCGAGATGCTCAACTCTTTCTTGCCGCTAGCTTTCCTCTAGGGAGCTGTACTGCCTGTGCCTGACCCTGCAGGCAATTCCTTCTGCTCCTCCTGGCTGTGCCATGACCCCAGCTCTGAACGCAGCTGGCAGTCCTCTGGCAGAACATGTACGGGTCAGACCTTTGTCTGGGAAGCCAAAAGGAAATTTGACATGTCTTGACAAATTAGCCACACAGCAGTTCAAGTATTATTTTAAACAACTCGTTTTCTAGTGTGTAGCAGAAAGAAGTTATCAAACACAAATGACCTTTTTCAAGGGGTAGCTTGTGATTTTAAATGAGCCGGTGTGCAACCTGGCTTCATTTTCCATTTTCAAAAGGAAAAACAAATTCTGCTTAGATGAAGTGGTCGCTTGCAACACCTCAGGAGTACAGTTAAGTATCATCAGCAGTCTCAGCCAGCCATTACTGCATTATCTTGAGGATCTACATCATTAGTTTAAATTAGGTTCACTTAATTAGCCAGCTGGTACTCTCCTTGACACGCTGATAAACAAGCTGTGCTTTACAGTTCCATAATGGTAAGACTGAAAAACAATTTCCACCTATTTTTTCCTCTCTAATGATAAAAATAAAGAAGTAATCCCCCTGTTTGTTTAGCCTATGCATAATATCTCTTAATCAAATACATTGTCCTCCCATTTCATACTCTGAATCCTTCAGATTTCTTAACAAAGGAAGTTAAGAGCTCAGCTATCTAAAAGATTCATGATCTCTGGAGATGGTGCTTAAAGTTGCAGGGAAAACACTTTGGTTCTGATCACAGGTCTATGAAAAGTAGCAACTATAATTGGAAAACATATGAAAACAATCCTTCCTACTTCAACAAAATATACACATTTTAACAGCTTTGGGTGCAGCAACATCGTGTTGATTTTTTGCAGTAACATCTTACATTAATTCCAGTATGTGGCTTGAGAATACTCTTCCCTTTTTAACCATTTTTCAGTAATTGGTGTAGTTTTTCAACCAATACATGTAAAGTGAGAGTGATGGCGGGGAAGGCATATAAGTAGTTTTGTACTTGATTTAAAACCTTTGTTTTCAACCTCTTAAAGGCGTCAGTATAATGTAGTTTTTATACTAAGTTTTAGAGTACATAATGAATAAAAAACACATTTTCAGCAATTCAGTAACTCTGAATTAATAAGAGGGCTACTTCAAGAATTGACAACATAATTCTTAAATACAGTCTGTAAATATCTCGAAATGCATATCTGCTCATCATTTTAATTCAAGCATATATATTATGTTTCCTTTGAAAATGTGACAGAAACAAAGGGTTTCTTTTTTTATTATATTTCAGGCAGTGAGTACAGATCCTGTTCCAGTGAAACTACACTATGATAAATCACATGATCAAGTCTGGGTGCTGAGCTGGGGAGACATGGAAAAGAATTCACCAACTTTGCAGGTGAGGTGATCACAATGATTATATGTAAGGAAATACAAACAGGTTGAACCTTTGTGTAACTGCAATGTGCTACATATTTATCTTAAACGTTATTACCATGACCCCAGCAGGCACAGAGAAATTATTTTAGGTAACCAGAAAAAAAATCAGACAACTGACCTCACCAAAAAAGTTAATGATTATTTTCAAGACCTTTAGTCAGAACTAACAATGGAAAATTGATAGAAGGATAAGGAATGCTGAAAACAGCAGCATGTTCTCTACTGAGCAAACCGTTTCTATTCATTATATTTGTCCCTAATTAGACATACTTCCATTTCATTAAGGTCATATTGACCTTCTGGAAGTGTCAGACTCTGTCTTTATTGGTTTTTTTTCAGATGAAAGATATCAAAAACCTTGATTTTTCTCATACCTTGGAGCAGTGACAAACCTAGGGACACTCACTTAAGAAACTTCTCAAGAAGCTGTACTTACCTTACTACTTTTTTTTAAAATTTCTGTTCCTGCTGTTCCTGATTTTATAGCATTCCCCTGAGACTATGATGATCAACCTTATATCAAAATTTTAAAATTCAGTTTTCTTTTCATTTGTTTTCCTTTTCTTCTGAAATGAATTAAATCCTTATGTATTTAATAAATATGTATATATAAGAAATAGAATAAGAGAAGCTTGGAAAGAAAAATTAGTAGCATTTGAAATAATCTTTTCAGCACCTACAGACTCTAGTAACTTTGAGCATGCAAGGTAATTTGTGAGTTGCCACTTCTCCTCAGAGCTGTTAATTGAGTCAGTCTTACCATATTTTAAAGCGAATGATCATCCTCACCCTCGTTTTTAATTACAGCATAGCTAAAAGATTGCCTTATTTTCTCTTAAAAAAAAATCCACTCTTAAATGCATATATGTGAAAAACATGGTGGCTATTATATGGAATTGTCTTTTATTCACCCATAAACATCTGCTTCAGAGAAGGTCCAAGATTTTGGGATATGAATCAAAATGGTTCATAACAATTTTAGGAATATGTACACTTAGTTCAGCTTGCTCTTCTGAAATATGTCTGTGCTATGTCGAATTATCTCATGACTGACAAGAATTTGGAGTATGCATAGCCATATGTTCCAGTGGATTTGTTGATAGCATCTTTGCACTCTGGCTGTAGTGCTTAAAAATTTAATCTCACTCTAAGATCTAGTTTAAAAATAGATTAAAAACTTAGTTTAAACTAAGAACTGTTAAGGGGTTTAGTAATGTAAATAAATAAATATGGATTCGGGGGTGAATAAAAAAGAGGGAGAGGAAAAATAAGTATGAAGACTAAATGGTCAGGTATGTAATAGTTCTCTAAAGTCTGTAACGCTGAATAGCTTTATTCACTGTTATTTGCATTCCTTTTCTTGCTAACTTGGAAAAGACAATACAAGAGAATACAGAGGCAATACTGTATTTATTCATTTGGATTAAGATTTGAATTTTAAAGAGTACTTCTATAGTTTATAATAATATTTTATGCAGGTGATAACACAAGCCAGTGGGAGTGTTTCTCATCACACAATCCATACTCAGCCAGTGGGAAAGCAGTTTGACAGAGTGGACGACTTTTTCATTCCAGCTACAACCCTTATCATTACCCATGTCCGGTAAGTTTATCTGAATGTAATGAATGTAGCATTGTCTTTGTGTTCATCCTAAGAACATATGTTTGAAGAACATATGGTATAGAGAAAGAGAGGCTGAGGAAAACAGGACCACACTTAACACAGGCATAAAGCAGAGCTCTCCCCAGCACCTCAGAGAGAAAAATCTGTTTTATGTCCTCAAAATACACTAGTAAGAATGTGATCTATAATTTTCTTTTTTTTTTCTGTAACATTTCTACCTCTAGATATTGAATAATTCTGCAGTCTAGGATTTTTTCAGCTGAGTATTGCATTAATGTGTATTAGTAGTTTGTATGTTTACAACTTCTAAGTTTCTTTGCAAGCTGACACAGATCCATTTTGTCTCAAACCAGCTCTGCCAACAATTATCCATTGTTTATTCTGATATTCCAAGTTCAAGTTTCTGTAGGAATACCTTCATTATATAATCTTAACTGTCATCATTGTGTTCTAGCAAAATTCTCAAATTACAGGTGTAAATAGGCATCTCCATTTAAAAGGAATATAATTTCTGATTATAGTAGTACATTTTTGTGAGTGGCAGTCTTTTAAATGTGAAAACATGCAATTTAGGATGATTTTACAATTGATTTTGGAATTTGTTCTGCATGTGCCTGGGAGGAATCTAGTCTTCTGTATCAAAGAACATTCGGCTTCTTCAAAGGACATTGTTGATAAAAGATATTTTGTTTAATTTCCTACAAAACTCTAAGCTAACAACTAAGTTAACAATCAGTCATATGCAATTTAAAAAATAATGTATAGATAATATAGCTGAATAATAAATTGACTTTAAGTACCATTATTACCATATTTCTTGAACTGAGTAAACAAATTCCTGTTGTGTCCCTGAAATAATCTGCAGTCCTCACATTCAGCCTTAGAAAAACATTAAATATTTCTGCTATATTTGGAACAGATACGTATTCTGGGGAAAAAGTTACTGTTTTGTAAACTAGCAAGGACTAGAAGTACTGCCTAAACAGAACTGACATTTAGATACTTTAATGTTCAAGTAACTAGGAAAATAAAACCATGGATTGGGATAAACATCGTACTAGGAGGGGAATCAGGACTGGGAAAAGAAAAATAGGGCCAGTCCAAAGCTAGTGTTGGATTCACCTTGTCTAACACAAACTATTTTAAGTTGATATTTTTCACCAATAGGTCAAGTAGGTGCTTCCTGCTTTGCCTGTTACCTTCAGCTGCTGAGTCGTTTCACATGTCCTATATGAGGACAAGAGAAAACTCAACTCAAGAGAAAATAGAATGAAAGAATTAAAGAAAACACACAGGAATAAAAAAGGAGTATTACATTAATTGAGCACAATGCCTGCAGATATATAATAAACACGGACATAAATTCAGGCCTAGTAAAGTTTTTGGTTTTTTGTTTGGTTGTTTGATTTTTTAATATTCACATGCCAGATAAAATTGCCAAGATTGCCAAAATGCCAAAAGAAAATTCTTGGTCTGGCAAAAAGCCTGCAGTAGTTTGTCTACTGCTAAATTCATAGATTTGGGGGGTTTAATGAACAAAATCAATTTGGTTTTACCAAATAATGAGCTTAAGGGGAATGCTATTAATTCTGAGTGCCTTTTCTAAAAAGAAAAGAAAAAACCCACTATGTAGACAAATAAGGTGCTTTTTTTCCCAATGTATTCTTCAAGAGCTCTTTATGGTAATCAGTTGTTGAAGAATTTGTCTTCCATTAAATGTCTGGCCTGCAAGTACCTTGCTTTTTTTGTTTAAATAGGGATGTAATATGTGAACAATGTTATGGGAAAGATTTAAAATTAACTATATTCATCAAATTAGTAGTGATGTAGAATAACCCAGTGTATTAAATTTAATATCACCAGTCAACAAAAAAGCCCCCACTCAATCACAGCATGTGTTTCTTAAGGCTGTTAGGCAACAAACATAAAACTTGAGTTTATTATTCTTGGGAGTATATACCAACCAGGGGAGCAATTTATGAGTGTGAATTGCAAAAAAAACAGCTAAAAGGGAAATAACCCTACTGGCTAAGTCAGCTTGTGTAGTTAATTGCTCAAGGGTCCTATTTACTCTTTGCTAGAAATCAGCTCCCTTTGACCATGCAACAGCAACTTCTTTCAGAAAAATGAAAATTTTCTGTAGCTAGGTGCATTTGTTACCTGTAAACTAAAATTTTGAATGATGGAGCAGAAATCAGTATGCATGGCTTAGCAAATTAGCATCCAGAACTAAATACAGTCCAAATAAAGGCAGTTCTAAGTAAAAAAAGGCATATCACTTAAAAAATTAATTAAGTTTTGTAACAGCTAGCACGAACCATCTGATACCATCTGTGGTATATTACTATCTACAGAATATTCTGTCCAATAGGTTGGCTTATTGACACATAGGAACAGAAGCAAAGGCAAATAATTTAAAGCTATAGAGAGGAATGTTTTTGTTTTGTTTTGTTTTGTTTTGTCTTGTTTTTTACTTTTCAATAATATCTAAAGTGGTAATTACTAGTAGTAGAAATACTATAAATTTTGGTCTCAAGTAAACAGTAATTAATTTCAATGAGAAAAATTTATCCCATATTTTTCCTACCAGTTATGTTTGGGTATACTCATGTCTTTTCGTACTTATCATGCATCAGGAGTGATGTTTTGATAACCAGCAGGCATACCATACATGCTCTGAACAACTGTGATGCACCATCAAAGCAGCAGCTAAACCAATTAAGTAGGCATGAGCCAAAAGAAGTGGAGGAAGAATAGACAAATTCCTTATCCTTAAACTTTCTTTGATAGTTGGCGGCTAGTTAATGTGTGTACAGAAGAGGGCAAGAAAATAAACTATCATTCTAGGGAGAAAAGTGTAGTAGGTTTGGTAGCACCAGTTAGTTTTGGGACGTTAGGAAGGTGTCTCTCTCCCTTTTATGTTCCATGATACTATTTCCTTCCACTCAAACTCCATTAGGAATCAAATTATATTTTGTCTGTAATCCTTTTGTATCTGCATTTGTAAAGACATATATGTGTGTGTATGTATATGTTTATTGAGAAAAGAAAAATATTTCTTAGTTTTAGTGAAAATATACTAAATATCTCTTTAATAATGTGTAGAGGAGTCCCACTGATCTTTCCAGATTGCAAATCCATGGTGGTACTCAGAGTGTCAGCTGCAGATAGACCTGATTGGCATCCCGTTATGATGCTTTAAAAATATAATTGTCTTAATTCTAGAATTTCGTGTCTGTTGTTTTTGACAAGACTGACTCTAAGGGAGGAATTGCATCATGCGTCTGAGCATTCCTTCATGATAGAAATAAATTTCCTTATTTTTCTCACTAAGCAAGCTCAGAGTTTAGAGAAAGTCAGTTTCCTGTGACTTTTCATGAGTTTCTTATGCCAGCTAGTTGTAGTGTAATGCACAACAGATCTTAGTCTTTATCTTAGAAAAGGAGACTGTGACACAAAACAGTAATAATTATTGTTAGAAAGAACTCTGAAAGAAGTTCGGTCAGTCTTGCTGTTAGAAATCTGAAGATTTCAAAAGGAAGAAATTTTATATTCATCTTGCCCATCTTGAAAAACAGCCCATCCTGCTATTATCATTGCATACACTGTAAATATATTTTGAATTATACCAAGAGAATGAATGAATGAATGAATGAATGAATGAATGTAAAGCACTGTTTTTCATGCACACTCTCATGCCCATATTTTTAGTATACACAGCTTGAAAAAAGTTTCCCCCTCCCCCTAGTTCTGTTGAAAAATTACCAAACACCAATGCCTCCAAAAGTATGTAGGATGAGCTCTATTACACTGTAATAAATAGTACAAATCCCAAGGTGTTTTTCTTCTTCTCTTTCTGAAGATTTTTTCCATATGTAGATGCATCTTACAAGAATTGGATATATATGTGTGAACACACACATTTAGCGAGCTAGGGAATTACAGCTTGGAAATTCTTTCTCAGGCCTGAATTTCTCCTGACTCTCAGGTCCATTCCCAGGCTGACAAGCTGACTACAGCTTCAGTTAGGGAGGAAGTCTCCCAGGGTGATAATATGGTGAAAAACAAAGTGGAATTAATAACAAAGATTAACACCTGGTGTCTTTCCCGTGGGATACATCCTGAGGTACTGTCCCAAGGATGTTTTTCCCAATTGTCCAATGAACTACTGTCCTGTCCTAGCTGCACGTAACACACTTTAAATACAGGCTGTCCATACAATAAAATTGGCCTTTTTCCCCTAAAGAGGTCCGTGTGTTTTGCTGTCCTTTCTCTCTCTTTTTAGCACAGTGACCACATATATGTCCTTATACATTTACTAAGAAGAAAATTTTATTCAGTGAGCTATTTCTGTTCCAAAGCAATTCAAGACAACCAATGATCTTGTCCTTAATTATCTGCTAATACCACTCCTTATCATAAAAATAGACTTTTGCAGTTAGTATGTGGGATGGTTGCAGAAAGATGACTTGTACAATACTCACGAAAATATATTCTTGGAAGTCTCAGAAGCAAAAGGGCTGATTATTTGTGTGTTCATAAATCAAAGTGAACAAAAGATAATTGGAAGAAATGAAGGTCTTTCACTACACTCTGTAAAATGCTTCAAAAGTAGTATTAAATGAGCTCATTGTAATGGAGTAATTCTAACTTTTTAGATGTTTTAATCTTTGAGCAGTGTTTTAAATGTCATACAGTTACCTGACCTAACAAGTGGAAGAATGAGCAATGGACTTACTGGTGAGATGGCTCAGGATCTGAATAGAGTTAACATATTCTGTTTGAGCTTTTTCTCTCTTTTATGCCTCTGTTGTGTACGGTAATAGGGGAAGCAGTACGCACTGCTTTCTAAAATTACATTTATTCATTTGCACAAAACAATCCAAAAACTAAGCTTTTCTTCAAGAGGTAATTGGAATGTGCTGCCAATGCATTCCTGTGAACCTTCTTAAATGAAACCCATGTGGAGCAGTAAGTCA